AGTACCGTCACTGGCACTCTTTTGTTATTGTGTTGTACCCATCTAGCCTATTTTGATTGTCATAATACGATAGTTATACTATACAACAACTGTCACAGTTCCAAACTGACTTGTCACTGTGCCACATTTTTCATGGTCCTGTATACACTGTCACTGTGCTGTACTCACTGTGACTAAGCTGCATTGTTGTCACTGTGCAGTGTTTAAATGCAAGTGGGGGGACACAGGCGATGAGGTACAAAGCATCATTCCTATTCTGTCAGGGATGATAAGGCCGTCTGAAGGAATGGAGATTGGAAAGCTCTCCATTATCATGTCCCGCTTTACCTACATTGTCCATGTTTGATATCTAGATTAAGAGCATCAGTTAAGCAAAGAAACGGAAATTGCCTACAAATTTCATTGGCTGATCGGCCTGCCCAGTCATAGGCAGAATCTCACTCCACACCCCCGTGTTGCTTGCTGTCTACTAAAGGCAGGCCCTCTCTTTGTTCATGTTCTCCAAACAAGGCAAGGGGTCAAATCTGTGTGGTTGGCTAAACCAATAGAAGTGCTGTCTATGATTGGAGGTCACTTGGTTCAATTCACAAGTTCATTAAACTTCAAACTCAATCTGAAGTGCATTTCATTTCACATGAAAATTTAATGACAACAAGTTACTGTACGTCCATAAGGCTGGTAAGACAAAATGGCAGCTCTGGCTTGTTTCTATGGATTCCTCCAACCATTACAAATCCCTGAAATCCTAAGCTGATGGGTATCAAAAGGTCACTCTGGAGCCTCAGGTCTGGAGTGTAGTCATTCACATAATAGCATCTCAACGCTGGGATCGAGTGTGAAAGACAAAGAGGGTTAGTGGGAGTGGATCAGATGGACGTTTTATTCAAGCATTATCATGTGGAAATGACCAAAAATACAACATTATTCTCCACAGTAGCATAAAATTTGGTATGAGATATAATCTATCCCATATATTCCTTGCAGAACATAATATTTTAAATCATTTCATGTAATAATTTACAGACTTTCAATAGGTTAAGTATCTTGATTGGAAGGTTAAACATCTCAGAAATTGAATTTGATCAGATTCAGCATCAAATTGTATAGTACAAATTTAACATGTGCTTACAGTTACTGTTCATAGAAGCCTTGGACCTGTATTCAGTTTCTGTATGACTGCCTAACCAGGAATTACGATTTGGTTTAATTCGGTTCACGGACGTCATTTTACCACCCTATAAATACTGTACTGCCATTGTGATCTTTGTTTAATAAATCTTTGTACTTGAAAATAAATCATAGTTGATTTATAACCAAGTGTGTCAAGCATGGAAATGTTACAACTGTAAACATGCACTGACTTTATGGTGCAAACAGGTAACACATAAATATATAAACATGTGGTCCCAGTAGAACAAGCAGATAAAACTTGTGTTTTGATTGGTAACAGTTGGTAACACGAATACAAACACCGTTAAATAAATTGCTAACATTTCAGGTTATACAGCGCTTAGGCTGATCTAGACCTAGTCCACCTAAAAATAATTTTCTTAAATCATTTAGCAATTTGTCACATATTTTTATATACATTTCATAATCTTGCTTGGCAGATTTCATCGTGGGGGACCCGGGGTGGGCAGGAGGGAGGGGAGGGGAATCGGCCCTGATACAGAGAATGAGCAGTAAGCTCTGATTCCCTGCGAACAGCTTGTGACACAGTGCTTCTCTGCCCCAGACACACGCCTCAGCAGCTCCCGTCTGTCACCGAAGCTGCCACCTTACACAGAGCTGCACGCCCCACCTCCTTGCTGTTTTGGTCAGTTAAAAATTCAATGATGTGAGAAATGCCACAATGATATTTCATTTATGGGTCTCGTTCATTTATGTTCTCAGTTAAAAAAAAATGCTTTCCTTACTTGTTTGATCGTGGAAGACCAACTTTTTAGAAATGTCAGCATTAGAGATGCAGGGAGGAGGTAATGACAGCTGCTTCTGCCAGCGAAAGGGATTTTTTTTTTTTGCTTTGCTGCAGAAAAGCGGGAGCGGGGTGGTCACATCACATCACTGACTTAAAGGCAGTCCGGCATCAGCATGGTGTAGCAGACAGCAGCGGGGAATTCACACATGCCAAAGCCATCTGTGGTGCTTCCCGACAGATCCTGTCACCGCCACATCCACGAACTGAACATCCCTGATGCTCTGCAGTCACTGGCAGACTTGCTCTACCATGGCTTCACTGGATGTAATGGTAAGCCAGGAGTGCCAGAGTTCTCAGCTCACAGCTGGCCACTGAAACAGCAGTTTAGCCGCACAAATGGCAGCTCTTATAGTTGGATCTCGGGAGAAAGCACTCTTGTACATCTGGCATTCGGCATAAGCTGGTGTGGCGTATCTTGGAAGCATTTGCAGCACTACAGCAAGGGCAAATACATCAGCCCAAAAGGCTCTCTGCTACTGATCGGCCGTTTCTGTAGATTTAACACTGCGATTTCAACACTTACTCTATCATTTTTCTGGCATAGACAATTCATAGCTCAAGTACATGCTATAAAAGGATATAAAAAGATCACACAGGTCTGGCAACAAGTCAGCCCCCCTGGTTGGGTCTTTGGAATTAAAATAAGAACTGTTAAGTACAGTATGGCAGACATGGTTGGCTCCTGTTGAACAAGTATACTTACATGCTTGCAAGTTTCAAGTTCAAACCAAAAAAAGTGTGTTTCCTGAATAAAATGCGAGTGTGATTGCTCCACAGCAGCAGCATCTACAAAAAAGAACAACCAAAATACTGAAGTACCTAAGGTTGTTGCAAAGCTGTTGCTATGCCACTCAGGGTGGTTGCTAAGGTGTTGCTAGCTAGTTACTATAGTTACTAGGACATTGCTATTTTGTTCATAAGTGGTTGCTAGGGAGTTTATATGCTACTCAAGGTGGTTGCTAAGGTGTTACTAAGATAGTAAAGGTAGTTGTTAAGTTGTTGCTATGGTGTTGCTAGGTGTTTGCTAAGGTGACTGCTTGCAGACCTCCGAACCTCCATCAGGATGAGGGCCTGCAACACCTTCATTAAGTTGAGTGTCTGCAGACCTTCTAACCCAATCAAGGTGAGGTCCTGCAGACCTTCCAACCTCCATCAAGGTGGCTGAAGCACTTCCATCTTCCATCTCGCCTGCTGCACCTCCTTCTAGGTGATGGCCTGCAGCACATCTAACCTCTCCCCAGGTGAGTTACTGCAGCACCGTGAACTTCCACCCAGGTTAGGGCCTGCAGCACCTCTCACCTCTTAAGGTGGTTGCTATGGTTTTGATTAGGTAGTTAAGGTATTTGCTAGGTGGTTGCTGTGGTATCTATGGTATATGCTAGGGTGTTGCTATGCTACTCAAGGTGGTTGCTAAGGTGTTGTAGGTGTTTGCAATGGTTTTCCAAGGTACTTAAGGAAGGAGGGATGAAAAATAACAAATGGATAAATGTGGACCAGTTTAGCCTTCAATGCATGCTAGGAAGCATGGTTGGTTTTGGCTATCAAAAAAAATAGTGTGCCTATCCAAAGGTTATCCTGTCAGGTTTAGGTCGGACACGTGAAAACTGTAGGAGGGAAAATATGCGAAAAGTGATGCATAAAAGTGTTTGCTCTGCTTACACAAGCACTAAAAGCTCTACTTTCCACCTGCGCAAAGCGCGACGCAAAGTGGTTTTGCTAGTTTCGTACCAGCGCATGCGCACACGTCGTCAAAATAGTTTTAAATAAATGCGCCCGCTTTGCTCTCGTAGGCGCGGTGTTTTTTAAACGAGGCGTGGCTGGACGCGTTGTCGGCGCTTTGCTATTGTAAAGCAGCAAAAAGACCTTGAGCTTTTCTTCAACAAAAACCACTTCATTAAAAACCGCATTATTAAAGGGTATTTAAGCGACACGTGCGGATGCATGGCGTTCCTTATTGACACAGATATGCGCTGGAAGTGCACTGTTTTTAAATTTTATTTAATTTTTATACTTTTAAAATGGAGTACATTTGATCCTTGCACGTAATCATACTGTTTAATGAAACACCAAAAAAAGCAATATATATTAAAAATAAACCGTATCATTAAAAAACCTTTCCAGTCAGAATTAATTATCAGAATTATGCACGTGCAGTAATTGAAAGCTCATCTGGATTGCTGAAAATGCATTTCAGATATTGAGGTGGTACGTTACAGTGCAGCCCACAGAAGGTCGTGACATTATTTTTTACATGTTGTGTGTTGCGTGTCATTGCCATGTGTGATGGATGTCTGTTGGACATAAATGAGGACACATTTGAGGACTTTAAGGTGTGATGCTGAGCTGCATGTGCCGATGCCAACAATGGGTTCGCCAGCAGGAGCGGGCAAGGAGGAGTCACCTGGCAGACGAGCTGAATCATCTGTAGCCTGGTATGGAATCTAAATTGTGAATGTAGAAAAATAACAGACCTACTGCTTTTTATTAGAACATTTTAAAACACTTTAAAAACTGTACGGCTGTTTTGTTTGAAGCATAATTAAGCTTAATTATGCAACGGCAGTTTTATTTATATTTTGCGAATTGCAGACCGAGAATTAAAATGAAAAAATGCACAAGCATAATTAGACCCCCGTTCCCAGCCACTTCTCTCATTCAGTAGCAAGTTTTCAGTTTTTCTTCTGACATCATTATTACGCTTTTGGCACTATGCACTGTGGTCAATTTAACCCACATCACCTGTTGGGCTTCAATTGATGTAATTTATATAGGTGAAATCGCAGTGACCCATTACTGGATAATCGGTTTGAAATTGGATGGATGGATGATAAATGTGACAGTATTACCTTGACATCCTGGTGGCATAAGCAGTGAAATTTAAATATTAACTGAAACAGCAAGAAGCTGTAAGTTGTATTGCTAATCCTCTCTGATGTCCTGTGTCTCTGACTCCCACGAATAACCACTAATATGAACCGTGTCAATTTCACTGCATGCAAGGGCACGTATCAAAAGACAGACATTTTGTTTTATGTATATGATTATTTTATTTACAAAGTTTGAGAAACTCCATGCCACTTCTGCCATAAGGGAACATTCAACAGGACTTTTTAAATTTTACTCTTGGCCCCTTGCAAATGACCTGATCAACAACAACAAAACTAATGTAACCTGGAAAACAAAATCTTACAGTTGAAGCAATTATGTGCAGTGCTTGTGGTCTGTGGATTTTAAACAGGCTGTGTGCCCCTCAGTGAGGTATTGGTGGTGTACTTGTTAGAAGGGCTCAGTTTCCTCACTAACCCAACAAGTCAATCACACATCCCTGTATTCAGTGGCTGAATTGACATCTTTTGAGTTTTCATTTATTACAAAAACAAAGAAACACAAACAAAAAGACAAACAGCATAGTTTAACATATCAAAAACTAAGGTTGTCTGCTGGCCTGTGGCAAATGCCATAGTCCTTAACCGCAGCACACAAACTCCTGTGGTCCAAATTAAATTACAAAACAATGTTAATTAAAAGGCTTTCTATGAGGAACACCAGAAACACTGGTGAGAACACTGGGTTCAGCTAAAGGGAGAGTAATTTCCAGCAGCTATGAACAGATCTGGTGAATCTTAGATTTAAGTACATCTGCACACTTGGACCTCTTTATCATCCTGCTGCTCTCTCTCTCTCTCTCTCTCTCTCTCTCTCTCTCTCTCTCTCTCTCACACCCACTTTGTTCATTCCTCCATTCCTCCAACATTTAAAGATTCTCCAGCAGTTCAGAAGCTTGAGAAATAAGCTCCCCAGTCTCCTCCTGACTTTGTCTGGCTCTGGGAAGGAGTGGTGAAGGACTTGAGATGTCCTACAGGAAAAGGATTACGGACAGATCCAAGTCACCAGGATGTGGAATAAAAAAAAAAAAAAGGTAGGCGGAGAAATTAATAACGGGTCTAATATGTAGACGAAAGGTGACAGAAGTAAAAAAAATAATAATAATAAAAAAAATGCTCTGGTTATTCTTGACAGGAAGTTATCACCGGTTGGGTACTGCCATGCAAACAGGTACAAGCTTCATCCTGCGGGGGGCGCCAGAGGGCCGCTCTGGCCTACCTAGCGGTGGTGATCCCGGTGCTCTCTGTGCCGCTCCCTCTCGCGCAGCCGCTCTCTCTCCAGGCTGGCCGATCGATCACGGTGTCTCCGCGACACTCCTGCGGCCTCCCAGACGTGGCTGTGGGAGGTCTCCCGGTCGCGGTCCCTCTCCCGGTCGCGGTCCCGATCTCGGGAGCGGTGTCTCTTTCTGAAAAGGACAAGTTTGGCATTCAGAAAGAACAGACCACCACCAGGCAAGAAGCAGGGACTTCAGTCAGCCATGTAGACCTCATGCAGACACCCCTAAAGACCTACAGACACCATTAAAAGAAATATATTTATAATGAACATGAAAGCCAGTCGAAATGTGTACTTCTTGTTTGTTGAGATGAATAACAGAGCAGGATGACGTTGGTATCTGTACCTCTGAGGGTCCAATGATGGATCTCGGTCATAGTCCTTCATTCAAAAAACAAACTAAACTGGGCAAACATAGAAAAACCGACCTGTTTACGTCATCCTTGTTTACCCATGGATTTCAACACATTACCTTACACACACTTATATACACGTATGCGCACGATTCACAGCTCTCACTGAAAGCTTACTTTTGAATGAAGGACTATGAAGGATATCGATCATCGGACCCTTTCAGAGGTACGGTACACTGAGGTCGGCATCCTTTGAGCAGTGGGTACTTTGTTATTCACGTAAACAAACAAGCAGCACACATTTCGTCTGGCTTTCATGCTGGAATATTATAAATACATTTCTTTTAATGGCATTATGATCGGAAACTTCTATGTTTTGTAATTTTATCATTTTCTGACTTTTTTTCCCTTGAAATAAATGTTTTATGAGTTTTTAGTTTTACGACCAGCTTGGGGTACGCCAGGGGTCCCTGAGGAATAAGTACCGGCTTAGTAGAGACTGAAACTCATTAGCACACAGTTGGTGGCATAAATTACACTCTTAACTCGTTTTCATTATGAATTTATTTAACATTCAATACACACACACTGAAGTAAAACAAGAAGAGCCTAGTCTTGTGAAAAAAATGTGGACACAGCGGTCGTGCCGGTTGCTTGCCATTCCCTGCAGTCGGCTGTTCAATATCGCAATATCGCTCATGACAGCCTTATACAACCGGAGTATCAATCACACACACACACACACACACACACACACACACACACATAATGGCGCACACACACACACACACACACACACATAATGACAGCTATGTCACATGCAGAGGAATGCAGAGGCACATACAGGGAGTCTCGACTGACCTGGACCCGTAGGACTTGCTCTCGATGGAGAAGAGGCAGTCCTTCAGGGAGGTGACCAGCACTCTGCAACATTCGTCTCCAGACACCCGGGACTGCTTGATGACAGCGATGGCGGTGAGGAGGGTCTCAATGGCCAGGGGGAAGTCTCCTTAGAGGGGGAAGAGCCCGGTTAGACAGAAGCCAGGAAACATCCCAGTGGACACAGCAAGCAGGAGAACCAAAGTGCACTAAAGTCAAATCAAGTCTTCTTCAGTTAATTTTTCATTTTTATTCCCTAGCTTGAGGAATCAGTATACAGCAGTGTTTCCCAGTCTGGTCCTCAGGGACCCACAGACAGTCCAGGTTTTTGCTCGGAAGCTACAGCAGAAATGTGCACTGCCTGGCAGGGAGCAAAAACATGCACTGCCTGGCAGGGAGCAAAAACATGCACTGCCTGGCAGGGAGCAAAAACATGCACTGCCTGGCAGGGAACAAAAACATGCACTGCCTGGCAGGGAACAAAAACATGCACTGCCTGGCAGAGAGCATGGAGGGAGCAAAAACATGGACCGACTGTGGGTCCCCAAGGACCGGATCGGGAAATGCCAGTATACAGCTTACCATGACTCACACAAATCGTCTGAAATTCCATTACTTAAGTAACAAATCATGGCAGAAAAAGTTTTACAAGCCCTGGAAACAAAGTCAGCCTCTCGCTTGATTATCAAGAGGGGATATTCCCCCCCCCCCCCAACTCCCAGCAACTGCAGAAAAGTCTGAGTTTAAGTGTACATAACACTAAAGTACATAACACTAAAGGGTTAGAAAAAGCAACGGTGTCAGAAATGCGAAAAGCGCAGGGGCTCATGTGCTGCCTCATGGACGAGCCAGAGCTGGCGGGTTTAATGGAGACTAATCACACACCACACTGAGCGCTTATTAACACATCAGGCGTGTCCTGTTCCAGGCTGGGAATGGTGTGCACCTTTAATGTCGACATTTTAATGTGAATGCGCCACATGACAGAAACCACAAGGGAGAACGTTTATGAATGCAACATAAAACCCAGCCGTCGGCTCAGCACAGCCGCTGACCTGCGGTGGCTCCGGACACAGCCTTGGTGATGGCACTGCTGGCAATGGCTCTGTTCCTGTTCATGAGCTCCTCAAACTCCCCTTCCGGCACAGGGGGTGTGGGTGCATCTCGCCCCCTGCTGGAGAGAATAGCTCACTGCACCACTGCTGAGTACACCATTTAATATTAGGGAGTATTTTTATTGTAGCATTTATAAAAATAGCAGTAATAGTCATTGCTAAGGAGGGAGAGCCGTTTCTGGCCCTCTCCTGAAGCATTAGGATAGACACTTAAAACCAGCGTTTCCCAAATCGGTCCTTGGGGAGCCACAGACAGTCCATGTTTTTGCTCCCTCCCAGCTCGCACAAGTGTGGACTGTCTGGCAGGGAGCTCGCAGGGAGCAAAAACATGGACAAACTGTAGGTCTCCAAGTACCGCACTGGGAAACACTGCAGTTTAAACAACGTATGAAAGCAGCTGAAGCCGATGTAGTACCACATCCCAGCATGCCCTGGGGCAGTGACCCCTTTATAACAGGACTCACGTGCTGTGGCTGTAAGCTGGGTTGGTATAGCTCTCCTGCGAGGGGGGGAAGAAGGCGGGGTTCAGGTGCAGGGATGGGGCGGGGTGGCTGGGCAGGGGAGGCAGCAGCGGCGGG